ACCAATCGCCACAGTCCGTAGAACCTCTGTTTCTTCTGTACTTGCAATGCACGTGCTAGATACACCAATAAAGGAGACACGACAAAACATATGGAGTGTTCGTAAGCATGTCATTTTACAACACGCATGCATCTTCCATCTTAAACTCGAGAACTCAATGGTGGAACCAACTGCTTCAATCGTATTCTGAAGGCCTTAGCATAGACATAGACATCGTCGAACAGCACGTCTCCTTATCACGCGCGCGCGCCCTGGCGCGTGCGCGACGACGACATATCAACAATGCCCGTCTTAATTTCGAAAGATGAATGCTGAGATTGCGAAACAGCGCGCAAACTGAATGGTGAGAATAAATTTGACCATTCGTACTCTGGTGAATTCAGCATGGAATTCTCGACCCTCAAGCGTCGCGCTTTCCTTGTCGCGCGCGCGCTCTGACGAGCGCAGCGCAAAAATAAAAGGCGCCATGTGAGACCAAACATGAGCAAGGGTGACGCGTGCCACCCCGAAAAATAAATGGTGACCACTATTTGATTCGCATTTCCAGTGCCTCCGTGTGGAATTCTGCGCCGTGAAACATCGCGCGTTTTTATTGTATGTTTCCTTTTCTTTTTTGTCTTCCCATTGCGGGCGCGCCAGAGGGCGCGCGCGCGGCGAGGAAAGCATAATGTTTCCACATTGAAAACTCCATGATTAGGCCCTGAGGCGTCGACCAGGGCTGCCCGCTCAGTCCCGCCTTCTTCGCGATTGGAATCGCCGACGCCCTGGCCCGCGCTCGCGACCGCCGGCGACAACTGAGCCCCGCCGCCCGCTGGTTCTCTCACCTCGACGACGTGCTCGTGGTCGCGCCAGCAGAGACCGCCGCCCAGGCCCGCGACATCGCGTGGGAAGAGATGGCGCGGGCTGGCCTGTGGCCCAACGCGGCGAAGACCCAGGTGTGGGCCGCCAGCCCGCCCACCGCGGCCACCTTGACTTTTCTGGGAAACCGGGTCACGTGGTACGACCGCGACGACGGCGACGACGACGCCTGGCTGCCTCTCTTGGCCAGCTCCGACGGGCGGGAGGTCTTGGGGAAGACGCGCCACTTTTTGGCCCACTGGAGAATGCTGCGCCGCCGCGGACTCTGGGCGGAAGGGGCGCGCGCGCTACTCCGCGCTTGCGCCCAGGGCTGCTGCGCCCGCCAGCTGCGCGCGAACTGCGAGACCGCCTGGGTGGGGGGGCTCGACGACTTGCTCTTCGGGGCCTACGCTGAGCTGACTGGGCCCCAGAGCAACGAGCAGAAGGAGTGGCTCACCTTCCGCCTCGAAGACGGCGGCGACAGCTTCCCCCCTGCCCGGGAGACCGCCGCCCGAGCCTACCTCGGAAGCCGGGCTTTCTGCTTCCGGGGCGTGGCAGCCTGCCTCTGAGCTACCTCGGCAAAGGCCATTCGGGCCCGCTGCCCTCAGGCGGCAGACGCCAGGCGCCGCGCCGAAGCGGACCTCGACCGGCAGGAGGCGAAGGTCGATCCCTTGGATTGGGCGGCTCTCCTGGCCAAGCCCAAGACCAAGCGGCAGGGGCGCTGGGGCAAGAGGAGCTCCGCCGCAAAAGAGATCGGCTCTTCCGGACGCTGGACGAGGACGGCCAACTCGCTCTACGCGGAGGCGAGGGGCCCGGCGCGGGGGCTTGGCTCCTGCCGCGCGAGGAGGGCGACGCGCCCCTCCGAGTCGCCCACTTCCTGGCCAACCTGCGCATGCGCCTCAGCTGCGACGTGTGCGCCACGGGCGCGCGCTGCCAACGCCGCAAGGAGGGCGGCTCGCTCTGCGGGGGGCCGCTGGACACCAGGGGCTGGCGCGCCCGGGAGTGCGGGCGCTGCGGCGGCAGGGGCTGCAGGCGCAACTCCTTGCGCGCTCAGACAGGTCGCGGGGCTGGGGCCGAGCAACGGGCCCCCGCTCGGGGCCGCCAGCGCCCCAGCGCCGGGGCCTGGGAGGAGGCCGCCCTCGACGTGGCGACCCAGCCACCAACTCCCTGATCTACGTGGACTGGTTTGTTACCTGCGAACGCAGCGACAACGGCGCGCGCAGGCAGGCCAGGGCCCGCGCGGACGGGGTGGCGGCGGCTCAAGCAGTCGACAAAAAGCGGGCGCGCTACCCTCCGGCTGGAGGGGAACTCGCCCCGGCCGTCTTGGAGTCTGGGGGCCGGCCGGCGGACGAGCTGGTCGCTCTTGTGCGCCCCTGCGGCCGTGACTTGCCTGGCGCCGACCGGTCTGCTTTGATCTCTGCCCCGTGGAGAAAGATTCAGCGGTGCCTCGCGCTCGGCAAGGCCGGGATGTTGCGGGGTGCAGCGTGAGCGGCCCATGGTGCCGACAACCAGCTGCAGCGCGACTACAGCCGCCAGCACTTTGGCCACTTGCGCGCCCGCCGACCGCCGCCGCGGCAGCCGCCCCGCGACGGCTACGGCAACCGCGCCCGCCGCCACTTCGCTCGCCCACCACCGCGAGCTCGACGACCACTGCGACCGCCGCGACCAACAGCACAGTGAAAGCCTTGAGTAAGGAACATTTACTTTTCAAAAGGGGCTCGGTCGTTCCTTAGGTTTGCATGCGTTCTGCTACATTTTTGGCGGCGAGCCCCCCCGGTGCTCCTTGCGATTTTGGGCGCGCGGATTTTTGTTTTCGGTCGGGGCGGGCGGTCTCTAAGGAACGGGGCGCCACGGGGGGGCTCGGTCCCTTGCGCTTGCTCGACGTAATGCGACGGCGGTCGCTTGGAAGTCCGGCGCCTCTCTGGGGCCCTCCCGTTCCTTGCGGGGCGCGCGGAGGAGCTCTCGCCCGTTCTGCGCGCCAGGATAGTGGCGTTAAGGTCCAGTTCCCCGCCGGAGCACTTCCCGTTCCTTGCGCCGCGCCTTTCGGAGCTCACTGACTCGACATGAAGCTACGGCGGTCGCGTCAAGGCCCAGCTCCTCCCTCGGGCCCCCCCGTTCCTTGCGGGGCGCGCGCTGGAGCTTTCGCCCCTTATCCGCATGCCAAGGCAGGGGCATTGTGGTCTAGTGCCTCGCAAGAGCCCCCCCCGTTCTTTCGGCAACGCGGTTCGAGCTCACTGGCTCGACATAATTGAACGGTGGTGGTTGCGTTAGGGTCCAGCTCCAATCTCGGGCCCCCCCGTTCCTTGCGGGGCGCGCGCTGGAGCTGTCGCCCCTATTCGGATGCCGAGGTAGGGGCATTAAGGTCCATTTCCTCGCAAGAGCCCCCCCCTCCCCCTGTTCCTTAGGCCACGCGATTCGGAGCCCAGTGCCTTGAACCTTGAGCTTCCCCAGGGTTTGGCGCGTTTTTGTTTGCTTGGACCCTTTGGGATTCTTGAGCCACCCGGGGTTTTGCACGAACCGTCAGGGTTAATGAAGAATTCTGAGCCCCCCCCCACCTCGACGGTTCCTCTGGATGCTTGAGGATGCTTGAGTCCCCCCCCAGGGTTCCACGCGGTTCCTCAGGATTCCTGAGGGTTCCTGAGCCCCCCTCCACGCGGTTCGTCAGGGCTCCTGAGTGCAGTATTCTTGAGCCCCCCCCCCAGGGTTTCATGCGGTTCTAGGGGATTCCTAAGGATGATTGAGCCCCCCCCCTCCTCGCGGTTCTTTTGGGTTCCTGAGGATTCCTGGGCCCCCCCGCATGGCTTCGCACGGCTCCTCCAGAGGATTCCTGGGCCCCCCGCGGTTCCTCAGGGGTCGGGGGGCTGGTGACGTCACGTTCCGCGCAAGCGGCGTGTGTGGGCGCCTAGGAACAGCATCGGGCGGGGGGGGGGAGCATGTAGGTAGGCAGTCCGTGCGGTGTGCACAGATGCTGCGGTGTGCACATGCATTGCGGGCCTAAATGCAGGGGGCGCGTCCAGGGCAAGATGAACCAGTAATCGCAAACAACTTGCACATTGAATTTGATAGTTCTGGGCCCGTACCATTCTTTCTGCATTCGAATTCGTCGGGCTCTGCTCACAGGCGTGTTCTGGTGCTCGCAGGTATGCCGCGGCTTTCGCATGCCACCGGCGTGCTTTCAGGCTCATGTGCTGTGTTGCTATTATTCCCAGCTTGGTGGCCCCCATATGGCGGGACTGGCGCGAAATCGTTGCATCTCTTGTTGCGACGCGGCGGCGACCCCGCCGCGGGCGTTCGAGGTTGAAAACGCTCAGGGGGGCCCATTCGTGTCCGGGAAAGGGCCTTGATGCTGGTCAGGCTCTTGAGACATGGGTCGACGGCTGGAGCGTGCGCGCAGGTGCGTCGTCGTCGTCGTCGTCGTCGTCGTCGTCTCCCCCGTCGCCGTCGCAGCAGTGCGACGGTGACGGGGAGGGCAACAGCGGCGGCGGCGACGGCGGCGGCGGCGGCGGCGAAGACGACGACGGCGGCGGCCACGGCGGCGGTGGTGGGGCGGTGGCCACGGCGGCCGTCGTCGTCGTCGTCGCCTCCGCCGCCGTCGCCGCCGCCGCCGTCGCCGCCGCCGCGGCCGCCGCCGCCGCTGCCGCCGCTGCAGTCGCCGCCGCCGCCGCTGGCGTCGTCGTCGTCGTCGTCGTCGTCGCTGCGACGGCAACGACGAGGGCGACGGCGGCGGCGGAGACCCCTTGGCGGATTTCCCTCGTCTGGGCCCCCTCTTGGAGCCGTCTTGGGGGTTTCTTGGGCCGTCTTGGAGGCCTCTTGGGCCGTCTTGGGGCGCTTTAGGGCCGCTTTGGGTCCCTTTTGGGGCCTCTTGGACCGTCTTCGGGCGATCTGGGGGGCCTCCTGGGTCGTCTTGGAGCGTTGGGAAGCCGAAGAGGCGAGTGTGTCAAAATCCTTCAAAAACCAACGGATAATCAATGAATTGTGCCCCTTGGGGACCTCTTGGCAGGGCTCTTGGAGGCCTCGTGGGGCGTCTTGGAGGCCTCTTGGGCCGTCTGGAGGCCATCTTGGGCCATTTTGGCGGCCTCGTGGGCCATCTTACCATCCTTGATGGGCTTCCCGGGCCGTTCTGGGGCCTTTGGGGAGCTCCATGGGGGCGCCATGGCCGCCCAGGGCCCCCCCCGGGAGCAGGGGCGATGCAATCGTGCAAGCGCAGCCCTTGGCATTCTCCCGCGCCTCAACGTGCCAAGGCACGGCGGCGGATTCGGCACGTCGGGCCCGAGGGCTGGCCCCAGCATGCCTCCGAGATCCCCCCGGCGCAACCCGACGTCCTTTCAAGATGGCCCCAACAACGCAAACAACAAAACAAGACGACCACTCCGTATTCGTTTGGGCTCAAGCGTCCCATAAGTACCCAACCTTGTACTCTACGTCGCCGTGCTGCAATATGATGGCATTGTGTTGTACTTCGGCAAACCATCATCATGCAGTTTCATCCATTCTTGTTTCTTGGCGTTCTGCGCGCGGGTCTCTGTGCCATCGTGTCCAGGCAACTTTCGACGGGCGCCCGAATTGCGTTCAAGGATGTCGACGATGCGGATTATCAGGAGTTCGCGATGGATGGGTGGGCCTTAGAGAGCGACCAGGCGCTGCCCAAAGTCATGCCATCTACGCCGGTGCGCGCGCCAGACACAGCACGTCCAGACAGCTCATCCTCTCAGCTGGCAGACGCGGTGCCACCGCCCAAGAAGAAAGCGCCTTTGCAATCCACCTTGTTCAAATTCGGCACGATGAAGGTAAAGGCCGCCGCCGGCAGAGGAGTTCAGGTCAAAGGCAGAACTTCCATTCAGGAGGCGCCCGAACCCTTCAAGTGCGAAGTTCGCGGGGGCACGTTCAAAAACGAGGCGGGGCTGATGGGGCGCGTGACTGCGCATGGCATATCTTCCAGCTCCAGTGTTTCTTCGATGACTTTCCAAAATCCCGCGTCCCGCTCGGGCACAGGAGTGCATGTTCTTATCCTCGGCGGTTGCGTCATCTCTCGGCATCACGGCGCAGGCGTTCTGGGAAAGCCGCGCCGCCATGTTGAAGCAGTCAGCAAGGAGAGGCGGCGCGAGCGCCCCTTGGAAGCCCTGCGCTTTCGTCCATGCCAGGAACGTCGTCCTATATCCATCTGCCTGCGGCGCTTCCCGCAGCCCGCGACTGACCCTGGCGGGGCCGCGACGCCAGGGCCACGAGGAGGAGGGGGGGGGGGCGGAGGGGCAGAGAGGGGGCGCGGGAGGGAGGACGACGACGACGAGCGGGAGGATGATGAGTCCGACGCGCACTGGTGCATTGAGGGGTCGGCGGGCAAAGAGGATCATCCCGAGGTGTCGTGCTCTCGTTTGTTGTAGCTGCTCGACGTCAAGGGGAAAGGAACCACCCCCAGGTGGCTCGCTGCGCGGGGCGAGGCGTTCCGGAAAGCGGCCAGGAGGAGGCAGGGGAGCTGATGAGTGGTCGAGGCGTAAGCCGCAGGACTGTCGCCTTGCTCAATTTCGAGAAAAAGGCTCGCCAAGATGTGCCGCAAACGGAGAACCAAAGGGCAGCCCCTTACCCCTCGTATCATTGGTTCGATATCCACCCTGCCTCCGGCAAGCCCCGCCGCCGCGCCTGCGCCGCAACGCTGCGGGAACGGCGCTCCCTGCCTACCATGCCTATTAACCAAACTCGCCATGCCATACCTACCATACCAGACCTCCCATGCCATGCCTACCATGCCACACCTTCCATGCCTTACTTGTCATGCCATACCAGCCATGCCATTCCTATCATACTATACCTACCATTCCTCCCATGCCATACCTCCCATACCATTCCTACCATACCATACCAACCATGCCATTCCTACCATACCACGCATCCCATGCCATACCTCCCGTACCATGCCTCCCCTACCATACCTACCATACCATATTTACCATACCATGCCTACCTTACCATACATACCTTACCATAGCATGCCATACCTGCCGTGCCATACATACCACACCACTTATACATATGTATATTGAATTATTATTATTATTATTATTATTATTATTAATATTTTTAATGTGTCATTATGGAGTTTACCAGGACTTACATCATTGGAATATTTGGATCCAGTGAGACCTCGCGCGTGCCTGGGGGGCTGCGAACTGCGCGCCTGTCGCCGCTTTCGTGGGCCCCTGGGGCGTCCAGCGGAGTGGCGGGGCACGGGCTTCTTCAAAATTGCGCGAGACCTCCCAGGCAGCAGACCAAAATTCGAACGCGCCCGCTCCACGCAGGCACGGGGCGGATTAAGGCGGCAGAGATGGGCGGCGGCCGCGGCGCAGGTTCCGAGGCACAGAGGCAGGGCGTTCGCAGCCAGCAAACGCTGGGTGCAGCGTTTCCTCCACAGACATGGCTTTTCCCCCGTCGTCGCCAGTGGCATTCGGTCTAACGATATTGCAGAGGTGGTTCAGCAACAGACGACTTTCTTTGCCGCGCTCCGAGGCGTAGTGATGCAGCCGCTTCCCCGGGGAAGAGGGGCCCTTGGTATGACTTCTCCGAAGACTCCGAAGACGAAGGCCGCTTCCCGAAACGGTGGAGACTCAATTTTGACCAGGTGCCTTGTCGATTCATGTTTCCCCAAAGTGCGAAACAGTGGCGCCCCAAGGGCGAGCGGCGGGAAAAACGCGCGAAACTCAAGGCAGGCGGTGCCGCGCTCAAGAAGAGGCAGTGTACATTGCAGTTGCGCATCACTGCGGGCCCAGAGATGGCGCGGCCCCGCGCGGCCGTGATCTTCGGGGGGCTGGGCGCAAAAGTGGCCGAAAGTGAAAGGTCGCAGTGCGACGACAGAGTCGACGTCTATCTATCCGCCTCTGGCAAATCCGCCCAAGCGCAAGGGAGGTCCTCCTGCTCCTCCTCTTCCTGCTCCTCCTCCTCGTCTTCCTCCTGCTCCTCCTCCTCTCGCCGCTGCCTCTCCCGCTGCGAGTTCTCACCGCTGCCGCTGCCGCTGCCACTGCCGCTGCCGCTGCTGCTGCTGCTGCTGCTACTACTACTACTACTACTACTACTACTACTACTACTACTACTACTACTACTACTACTACAACTACAACTACTACTACTACTACTACTACTACTAGTAGTACTACTACTACTACTAGTACTAGTACTACTTACTACTACACTATACTACTACTACTACTACGTACTACTACTACTACTACTACTACTACACTACTACTACTACCACCACTACTACTACTACTACTACTACTACTACGTACTACTACTACTACTACTACTACTAGACTACTACTACTACTACTACTACTACTACTACTACTTACTACTACTACTACTACTACTACTACTACTACTACTACTACTACTACTACTACTACTACTACTACTACTACTACTACTACTACTACTACTACTACTACTACTACTACTACTACTACTACTACTACTACTACTACTACTACTACTACTACTACTACTACTACTACTACTACTACTACTACTACTACTACTACTACTACTACTACTACTACTACCTCTACCACTACTAATCCTACTCCTACCCGGCGCGGCGCGCGGGCGCTGCGGCGGACTGGCAAAACAGAGGCTTGGGCAGATCGGGCCTTTCAGCGCACATGGGCGGAGGATGCGCTCAAGCCGTGCCTGGGCGCGCAGTGCCCAGGGCCAAATGGCGACGCCCTAGAAACCCTGGGGATCTGCGGTTCATTGGGCGCGCAGCGGACAGCAGCATTCAACGACCTCGCCACATCAATAGGGCACAGGCCTGTCCACGGGCCAACAGGAAAAACATAGCATTGGCAACCAGTTGATGCTGGAGGGATTGGAGCCCTCGTCAAAACCCACATGAGAATGCACCAAGAGGCTAGGCTTCTCCGGGGGAGGAATTGGAAGCGGTGGGAGAAAGGCGAATTGAAGGTATCCGAGAGACGTGTCCTGACCGCGAAATGGCTCGGCCAGGCTTGGTCTGACATCTGCGCCAATCACGAGAATGAGCTGCGCAAGGCTTGGGAGAAATCTGGGTGCTCTTTGACCTTGGACGGCCGTCGCGATCATCATTGCAGGATCCTCGACGCGCCCGACTGGAAACCGCTTCCGCCCGACCACGTGGTTACAGGCGACCGGCGCGCCTGCGTTGCTGCCGCGCTGGCAAGGCGGGAGGACCGCGCCCAGGGCCCCCCGGCGGGCCCGGAGGAGCCGCAGGTGGAGTCCGACGCGGAATCTTCGTCGTGGTCGAGCAGTTCCAGCAGTTCGTCCTCGTCCTCGTCCACGCAGAGCGAGGATGGCGACGCCGACCCTGTGGGCGACGCCATCGCCATAGACGCCGGGGAGTTCGCGCTTCGCAGTGACTCCATTGCTTTCTTCTCGGTGGTCATGTGGGCGCATGCTTTGCGTTCCTTTTTTCCCAACCATCCTGTGGTGTTGGGTCCTCGTTTTGAAGAGACGTCGCCCAACGTTCCCCCTCCTCCTTCCTCCTCCTCCCCTTCCTCCCCCCTCCTCCCCCTCCCACATCCATTCTGGCACACCCCTCACACGTTTCGTGGCCCCAGAGGGAGCTCCACCGAAGGCCCCAGTGGCTGCGCCCGCATGCAGTTCCACCCCCCATTCTGGCACATCCCTCACACGCTTCGTGGCCCGATAGGGAGTTCCACCGAAGGCCCCAGTGGCTGCGCCCGCATGCGGTTCCACCCCCCATTCTGGCACACCCCTCGCCCCATAGGGAGCTCCACCGAAGGCCCCAGTGGCTGCGCCCGCATGCGGTTCCACCCCCCATTCTGGCACACCCCTCACACGTTTCGTGGCCCCATAGGGAGCTCCACCGAAGGCCCCAGTGGCTGCGCCCGCGTGCGGTTCCACCCCCCATTCTGGCACACCCCTCACACGTTCGTGGCCCCATAGGGAGCTCCACCCCCTGCATGCGGTTCCAGGCACACCCCTCACACGTTTCGTGGCCCCATAGGGAGCTCCACCGAAGGCCCAGTGGCTGCGCCCGCATGCGGTTCCACCCCCCATTCTGGCACACCCCTCACACGTTTCGTGGCCCCATAGGGAGCTCCACCGAAGGCCCCAGTGGCTGCGCCCGCATGCGGTTCCACCCCCCATTCTGGCACACCCCTCACACGTTTCGTGGCCCCATAGGGAGCTCCACCGAAGGCCCCAGTGGCTGCGCCCGCATGCGGTTCCACCCCCCATTCTGGCACACCCCTCACACGTTTCGTGGCCCCATAGGGAGCTCCACCGAAGGCCCCAGTGGCTGCGCCCGCATGCGGTTCCACCCCCCATTCTGGCACACCCCTCACACGTTTCGTGGCCCCATAGGGAGCTCCACCGAAGGCCCCAGTGGCTGCGCCCGCATGCGGTTCCACCCCCCGTTCTGGCACACCCCTCACACGTTTCGTGGCCCCATAGGGAGCTCCACCGAAGGCCCCAGTGGCTGCGCCCGCATGCGGTTCCACCCCCCATTCTGGCACACCCCTCACACGTTTCGTGGCCCCATAGGGAGCTCCACCGAAGGCCCCAGTGGCTGCGCCCGCATGCGGTTCCACCCCCCATTCTGGCACACCCCTCACACGTTTCGTGGCCCCATAGGGAGCTCCACCGAAGGCCCCAGTGGCTGCGCCCGCATGCGGTTCCACCCCCCATTCTGGCACACCCCTCACACGTTTCGTGGCCCCATAGGGAGCTCCACCGAAGGCCCCAGTGGCTGCGCCCGCATGCGGTTCCACCCCCCATTCTGGCACACCCCTCACACGTTTCGTGGCCCCATAGGGAGCTCCACCGAACGCTCCAGTGGCTGCGCCCGCATGCGGTTCCACCCCCCATTTCGGCACACCCCTCACACGCTTCGTGGGTGGCTCCATGGGGAGCTCCACCGAACGCCCCAGTGGCTGCGCTCGCATGTGGTTCCCCCCCCCCATTTCGGCACACCCCTCACACGGTTCGTGGCCCCATAGAGAGCTCCACCGAAGGCCCCAGTGGCTGCGCTCGCATGCGGTTCCACCCCCTTTTTCGGCACGCCCTTCACACGTCTCGTGGCCCCATAGGGAGCTCCACCGAACGCCGCAGTGGCTGCGCTCGCATGCGGTTCCACCCCCCATTTCGGCACACCCCTCACACGTTTCGTGGCTCCATAGGGAGCTCCACCGAAGGCCCCAGTGGCTGCGCTGGCATGCGGTTCCACACCCCATTCTGGCACACCCCTCGCACGTTTCGTGGCCCCATAGGGGGCTCCACCAAAGGTCCCAGTGGCACTGCCCGCTTGCGTCCGCCACCACCCAGCACAGCCCTTGTTCCCTGCGCTTCACCCACCCAGAACAGCGCTTCGTAGCCCTATAGGGAGCTCCACCAAAGGTCCCAGCGGCACCGCCCGCATGCGTCCGCCACCACCCTGCGCAGCCCTTGCTCCCTGCCTGCGTTTCACCCACCCAGTACAGCGTTTCGTGGCCCCATAGGGAGCTCCACCGAAGGTCCCAGTGGCACCGCTCGCATGCGTCCGCCACCGCGCAGCACAGCCCTTGCTGACCGCGTCTCACCCACCCAGTACAGCGTTTCGTGGCCCCAGAGGGAGCTCCACCGAAGGTCCCAGTGGCACCGCCCGCATGCGTCCGCCACCACCCAGCACAATTGCGGCATTCACAAGTGCATATGGTTGGGTCCTTCGCCAGGCTAATTTCTTTCTAATTCCATGTCGAGTTGGTGGCTTCGCAGAATGCATTGTCTAGTAATTTTCCAGCATACAGTGGTTGCTGATGGAAGAAAAATAACGGTCTTATGTTGGGCTAAGAGGAGTCCGGGCGCGGGGTGGAGCTAGTATGCCGACCCGGCCAGAACGGACAATGTGGTGACCTGGGTTTTGTTTTTGGGAGATTGTGAGAGATTTCGAAGTTCGTTTTGAGAATCCAGATGATGGTTCCCTGCAGTCGATCATGGCGCGTTCCATTGTGCAATTCTCAGGTTTGGTGCTCAAATTTGCTGTTTGCGGCGTTTGAGTGTTCAGATTTGCTGTTTGCGTTGTTTCGGTGCTCAAACGTGCCGTTTGCGGCGTTTCAGTGTTCAAATTTGCTGTTTGCGGCGTTTCGGTGCTCAAATGTGCCGTTTGCGGCGTTTCGGTGTTCAAATTTGCTGTTTGCGGCGTTTCGGTGCCCAATTTGCTGGTGCTCAAATTTGCTGTTTGCGGCGTCTCGGTGCTCAAATGTGCCGTTTGCGGCGTTTCAGTGTTCAAATTTGCTGTTTGCGGCGCTTCGGTGCTCAAATATGCCGTTTGCGGCGTTTCGGTGTTCAAATTAGGTGTTTGCGGCGTTTCGGTGCTCAAATTTGTTGTTTGCGGCGTTTCGGTATTCAAATTTGCTGTTTGCGGCGTTTCGGTGCTCAAATGCGCCGTTTGCGGCGCTTCGGTGTTGAAATTTGCTGTTTGCGGCGTCTCGGTGCTCAAATTTGCTGTTTGCGGCGTTTCGATGTTCAAGAAACGCACACGGATATCCAAAGACTTTTGTCTCTTTGGGTCCTCTTGGGGCGCTCTTGGGACTTCTTTGGGACCTCTTGGGCCGTCTTGGGGTCATCTTGGGCGTTTTTGTGCGCTCTTGGGCTGCCTTGGAGGCTTCTTGGACCCTCTTGGGCGCTTTCTGGGGCCCTCTTGGCCCGTCTTGGGGCCCACTGGCCTCAGGAAAAGTTATGCGAGGCAACCCAAGAACGCGCGGGAACGCCCAGGAAATCGGATAATTTGGGGCCCAGCCTCGAAAAGACTAAATCCCAGAGTCTTGAGTACAGAGGACAGAGGACACATGAGAGCCTTGAGCGAACTCCACTTCGCGCCTCGCGGCACAGTGACGGACTGTATGATATTTATATATCTAAATATACATATGTTATGTATACCTACCGTCGCCCTACAAGTAAGTATGTTGTATGGCTTCCCGCCTCTGCGGTCGTACTCCCCTCCCTTCGTCTTCCTGTCCCCCTCCCCGTCTCCCTCCCTTGTCACGCCGTGTCCCCTCCCCCTCCTTGCTCTTCCCTTCGTGATGTTTCCTTCTGCTGCTCCCGCCCTCCTGCTCCATTCCCTCCCTTTGTCCTCCATCTCCTCGCCTTCCCCTTCCCCGTTGTCTGCATCCTCCACGATCCTCTGCGCTCTTCCCTCCGCGCTCCTCTCTCCGCACTCCTCCTCCTCCTCCTCCTCCTCCTCCTCCTGCTCCTCCTCCTCTTCTCCTCCCCCCTCCTCCTGAAACGACCTCCCCCCCTTTTCCACTTCCCTCCCCCTTTTCCGCCGCCTCCGTCGCCGCCGCCCTCCTTCCCCGCGCCCCCGCGCCTCCGCTCCCTCTCTCTCCGGGCCCCGGGCGCCGCGTGCGCCTCGCGAGCGCCGCGCCCCGCCGCGCGCGCGCAGGTGGCCGCGCTGAGACGGCAGCTTGGGCGCGGCGGGCCGCAGCCTGCCGGCGCGGGGGGCGGAGGCGGCGCGGCCGCGTCGGCGCCGCCGGGTGCCGGGTGCCCAGCCGCCTCCGTGTGTCTACAGGCGGCCCGGATTAGTAGGTCGACTGCCAGATCAAGGGTACCCTCGTGTCCTGTGTCTTGCGACCCATGCCTCCTGCATTTCTGTGGCAACGCGGCCCTCGGAAGGGTCTTGTGTCCTCTCGCGTCCTCTCCAAGCCCGACTGTAGGCCTCCTAGATGGGGTCCGAGTGGATGGGGTCGGAGGATCGCGCCGCATCGCCGGTGCATCGCCGATGCGGCTCGATGTGGAGCCCGATATGCTTCACGCTGACGTCGCCGATGCACCGCCGACGTCGCCGATGCATCGCCAGTGCACCGCCGATGCATCGCCGGTGCATCGCGGATGCATCGCCGATGTATCGCCATGCAGCGCGATCCTCCGACCCCATCTACTCCGACCCCGTCTAGGATCAGCCGGCCCGCTCGCTTCGGCGGCCGGCCCCGGGGGGAGGTGAGAATCAAGCAGTGGCGAGGCGTCCTGACTTGCCTACAGGCCCACCAAAGAATGCTCTCAGAACCTTCTGTGGTCTGCACGAAGTGTTCTCAGAACATTTCTGGACGATACTCTCTCGTTTTAACACATCGGGGTTATGTTCTGAGACCATTGCTTTTGTTCTTAGAACATGCCGTGGTAGGCCTATAGGAATGTTGGGACGGTCGGTCTCTGCTCAAAGAAGGGGCGGGCTTACCCAGAAGGCTCGGAAGTCCCCCCAGCCGTATGAGAAGTTTCCTATAAGCCTTCCCCGACGATGCAGGCCACCTCTCGGAAGGCTGGCATGACTTCCGAGAAGCCCCGCCGCCTTCTGAGAGGGCTTTCTCCTTCTCCAGTGACCACATACGAACCCTGCCCCCCACCCGCCACGATTTCCAAGGGGAGGTGGGGGGTCACTTCGGGTCACTTCGTTCGGGAGCTCCCGAGCAAAGTGAACCCCCACCCCCCCTTAGAAATCGTGGTGGGGGATGGTAGGGTTCGCGTGTGGTCACCTCCGTCTCGCTTCCCCCCCATCGCTCACCGCCGACGGCAGCGTGGGGGGGGATGGTAGGCTTCGCGTGTGGTCACCTCCTTCTCGCTTTCCCCCCCACCGCTCGCCGCCGACGGCAGCTCCGTGTGGAGCCGACCCGCTCTCTCCCTCGGCCGACCTGGGCTGGAGGGGCTACCTCGCGGGGTCGGCCCAGGTTCGCGGCACGGTCACGGCTGGCCTTAGGGCATGTCTGGGGCTGCGAATTGCGCAACTGTCGCCTTTTTCGTTGGCTTCTGGGAGGCATGGCGGATTGGCGAAGTAAACGGACCCACGCGGGACCTCGTTGCTCTTTGCGTGTCTGCGAACTCGCCACTCTTTTGTGGGCTCCTGGGAGGCACGGCGGAGTAGCAGAGTAATTTGACTCAGGCGGGACTTCGCAGCTCCTTCTCGGGCTGCGACCTGCGCAACTTTCGCCAGTTCCGCGGATTCCTCGGAGGCACGGCGGAGTAGCTGAGTACGCGGACCCAGCCGAGACTTCGCTGTCCCTGAGGGGTTGCGAATTGCGCAATCGTCGCCACTTCCGCGGGCTCCTGGGAGGCATGGCGGAGTAGCGGAGTACGCGCACCCAGACGGGACCTCGCATACTCCTGGGTGGTTGCGAACTGCGCAGTTGTCGCCCGTTTCGTGGATTCCGGTTCCTGGGAGGCACGGCGGAGTAGCGGAGTAAACGGGCCCAGATTGGACCTCGCAGCTTTTGGCGTGAGTGCGAACTGCGCAGTTGTCGCCCGTTTGGTTGGTTCCTGGGAGGCACGGCGGAGTAGCGGACTACGCGGACCCAGGCGGGGCATCGTCGCTCATTGAGGGGCTGCGAGCTGCGCAACAGTCACCACTTTCGTTGGCTTCTGGGAGGCACGGCGGAGTAGCGGAGTACGCGCACCCAGGCAGGGCTTCGCTGCTCCCTTGGGTGGCTGCGAGTTAGCAATTGTCGCCATGTCATTGGGCTCCTGGGAGGCACGGCGGATTAGCGGAGTACGCGCACCCAGCCGAGACTTCGCTGCTCTTTCGGGGGGCTGCGACCTGTACAACTGCGGCCACTTTCGCGGGCTCCCCAGAGGTACGGCTGAGTGGCGGAGTAAACGGACCCAGCCGAGACTGCGCAACTGTCGCAACTTTCGTGGGCTCCTGGGAGGCACGGCGGAGTAGCGGAGTACGCGCACCCAGGCGGGATTTGGCTGCTCACTGGGGGACTGCGAACTGCGCAATTGTCGCCACTTTCATTGGGCCTCTGGGAGGCACGGCGGAGTACCGCGGACCCAGCCGAGACTTCGCTGCTCCTTGGAACCTGTTTTTTTTTCCGGAGCGACGACGGCCGTCATCTTGGGGGGGACAGGGGGCCGATGACGTCACGTTTCGCGACGGCGGCGTTCGGGAGTGCCTCGGAATGACCGAGGACGGGAAGCAGCAGCATGTACACCTTAGGCGATGCTTCAGAAAACATAAGTTTTCGGCCAGAGTCTCGACTATTCTTAACGTTTCAATGTAAATCTTAAGATTTTAACAGGAAGGTTGGGTTTTTATTCAAGTTCTGAGACTATGAATTTCTTAACCCATGATTTCTTAAGCATTTCGCAGGGTGTAGGCGACGATCCGCACCACAGCGCCTGTGTACACCACAGTGCGGCGTGCATCACAGCGCCTGTGTACACCAAACCGCCGATGTACACCACAGCAACCCCGTGCAACACAGCGCCAGTGTGTGGCACAGTGCCTGCGGGCACTTCAGGTCTTGTGTACACCACAGCGCTTGTGCAATACAGCACCAGTGTACACTACAATGACTGCGTGCACTACAGCGCGTGTGTACACCACGGCGCCTGTGTGCACCACAGCAACCGTGTGCAACAGAGCACAACTGTTGCATGTAAAGTTTTCGAAAGACCTGATGACAAAATGGAACGCCTGTGGATTCCACAGGAAACAATTGTTTCATTTAGGATTTGGAAGGTAATCTTTATGGAATAAGGAGTGCCGCTGGAACCTACGAGTCCTTCCGCATCATCCTAACTCCTCCCATATGCGTCCACAAGGCTCCAGCAGAATTGGCCATCCGAGAACCAAGTGGACTGATTCAACAGACCATTCTGCGGTGCGCGCTGATGTGCGCACGATAGGGGGAGGGGTGCGGGAGGAGGGGGTGGAGGAGGAGGAGGAGGAGGAGGAGGTGGAGGTGGAGGTGGAGGGAGGAAGGAAGAAAGTACCATTCTATTTTCAACACTTCTCTGGCGTGGTGTTCGGCTGTCCGCAGTGGATCCTCACTTACATGCTCCTTCTACCTGTCCTGTGCACGCAGGCGGCGTGGTGTACACCAGCGCTGCGTTGCACGCGGATGCTGTGCTGTGGACAGGCGCTGTGGTGTGCACAGGCGCTGCGGTGCACGCAGGCGGCGTGGTGTGCACAGGCGCTGTGTTGTACATGGTTGCTGCGGTGTATATGCGTTCGCTGTGGTGTACACCAGCGTTGTGGCGCACGTGTGCACAGGCGCTGCGTTGCACACGGCTGTGGCGGTGTACGCAGGCGCAGTGGTGTACACGCGCGTTGTGGTGCACGCGAACACTGCGGTGTACACAGGTGTTGTGGTGCAGATCACCACCCATATGCTGCTCCTCCTTGGCCTTGGTCATCCCTAGGCATTCCTGGACGCCGCCGGCGCGGAACGTGGCGTCATTTGGGGGCGGGGAGGGCCGGGCTGATGACGGCCGCTCTTGTGGTGCTGGAGCCACACGGCGGGGGGGGGCGTTACGTTACACCCCCCTGCCGCCCCCCCCATTATGACGCCCATCGTCGCCGAAAATACAGGAACGCGTGTCTTTTTGTTTTTTCTTTTTCTCTTTGTGTGCGTGCGCGCGCGTGTGTGTGTGTGTGTGTGTGTTTCTCTCTTTCTCTCTGTCTTTATCTCTTTTGTTGTTGTTGGTTCCTCCAGGTTTCTTTATTTTTCTCTCACTCTCTCTCTCTCTCCCCTATATATATATATATTCACCTGTTATGTATTCAAGCCTGTTTATATGTATAAGAATATATATATATATATATATATATACATATACATATGTGTATGCGTGCGTGCATGTGTGTGTGTGTGTGTGTATGTGTGTGTATGTATGTGTGTATTTATATTTACATGTATGCATGCATTTTACATATATATATATATATATATATATATATATATATATATATATATATATATATAATATGTATATATCATTATATACGTACGCCCGTGTGTTGTTATTTCCCCCTCTCTCTTTCTCCAACGTTCTTGTTGTTTATACATCTCTCTCTCTCTCTTTCTTTTTCTCTTTCTGTTTCGTTGTTGCTCTCGCTGTCGCTGTCGATTTCTGTGCTTCTCTCCATATTCCCCCCCTGTCCTGCCTTTCCATCCTCTCCCCATTCTGTTCTTCCGCGCGCCATCTCCACCTTCCCCTCTGCCCCCCCAATCTGCTTCTCCTGTACGTGAGAAGGAGGATGAGGCGGAGGATGTGGCGAAGGGCGAGGGTAATGATGAGAAGCAAAAGGAGGGCGGGGAGGACGGGGAGGAACGAGGAGCAGGAGGATGGAGGACATCGCGAGGAGGAGAGGGATGATGAGGTGGAGGATGTGGAAGAGGAAAAGGAGGATACTGAGGTGCACAAGGAAGGAAGGAAGGACACTCAGAGGCACAGGAGAAGTATAATACCATGAAACACCTCCATCCTCCCCCTCCCCTCCGCTTCACCTCCCAGGGCCCTAACGGAGGGGGGGAGGGGGTGGCAGGGGAGAGGAGCAGAGGAGGCGACACGGAGGGCCCCGCGCAAGGCTGCGACCCCGACCTCGCGGGCCCGCCGGGCGGCGTGGAGGAGCTGCGGCGCGAGAACGCGGAGCTGCAGGACGCGGCCGCGGCCGTGAGAATGCGACGGGTGGATCCTGGAGGAGAACAGGAGGTAGGCGGAGGATGGAGGGGTAGGTGGAGGGAGGGAGGGAGGGAGGGAGGGAAAGAGGGAGGGAGGGAGGGAGGGAGGGAGGAGGAGAGGAGGAGGAGGAGGAGGAGAGGAGGAGGAGGAGGAGGGGAGGAGGAGGAGGAGGAGGAGGAGGAGGAGGAGGAGGAGGAGGGGGAGGGAGGAGGGGGAGGGGGGGGGAGGAGGAGGGGGAGGAGGAGGAGGAGGAGGAGGAGGAGGGGTAGGAGGGGGAGGGGTACGCGGGGGAGGGATTTTGTTTTCTCCGCTAGCCCTGAGGCGTGACCGAGGGGGTGCACGCTTAGTTTGTGCTGCTGGCAGCCTTTGCTGCTGCCTCCCTGGCCTGGACATGCGCGAGCAACGCACGCATTCCAGGAGTCGACACCAACCCCGCACGGCCAGCTGCCGATGGTGCAGCTTCGGGCGGAGGAGGGGTGGTGGCATCATATTATAGGTAGCTAGCCCCTCGTCTTGAGGGGCCCGCCACACGATCATCCTCGTTCCTGTAATGAGGATGCAGACCTGACGCAATACGCGGGAGCGTAGTCTTGGCTCCAGCGAGCTTGCGTCCGCAACATTCTTGCCCGAGCTTGAAACTTCTCTGGGCTGAATGGGCTCCGCACGTAGTGCAGAAAAACAAAGTCATCTTCTCGTCGCGACGCGCGACGACGGTCTGGGCCAACTTGTGGCTTTTACTGACATCCGGCACACCTTGCCACGTCCTGCTGGGGCCTCTGCAGCCTAACATAGGTCGAGACTCAGGGTCCCTCGAGAAGAGCAGGCACTTCAGGCACCTGACTCCTTTGTCGTCCAGGTGCTCCCAGTGGTGCCATCCTCCAGACTTCAAAAACTTGCATCTCGGCCCCGAGGAGTTCCTTTCGAGGTGCTTCGACGGGAAAACGCACAACACTTTGGCCGCAACTCGGGCCACAAACCCTAACTTGTCCAACCTATCACTAACATGCTGCCACTGAGCGTCGGTAAGTTGAGGATGGAGGAGGAGGGCTTGCTTAGCTAAGGTGTCAGCTAGCTGGTTACCTACCCCGATTCTTCTTTGGGGCCCAGGGAGGCTGTCGAGGAGTTCCTGGGACCTGTAGGCAGGAGTGTGTATGACTTGGAACGTGTGGTCCTTCTTTTCATAAATTAAGGCACCTCTTCTCATACCCCCATACTTGTGCTTTCTGGACTGCTGGTGACTCGGATCGGCGTTACACAGCTTAGTGACAGTGGCACAATCAGAAGACCTGTCTCCACTGTACTCGACAAAAATGGGAACACCGGCCATAGCCTGATGTTCGTCTGCCTGCGGCGTCTGCTGCAGCACGTCCCACACAGTTCCTTGAGCATGAGCCACAGCATTCCCTGGGGCGTCCAGGAAAACCCAGGCGTATGCAGCACGAGAAAAACATGTCTCTGATAACATGACGGGTGCAGGAACCGTCCATACAAATGTCGAGACCAGCCAGATCCAGGGAGTCCCAAGGGATAGCGTTTCCTCGGGGATCGTACAGCACAGGGTTGGGGTCGTCACTTGGAGGGGGGACTTTGGTCCCAGGATGATCCCACTTGAGCTCGTCCCAGAACGCGCGATCTTCACTCTCGACCGCCTCCCTCAGCCATTCGGGGTGATCCGCTGCTGCTTGCTCCCGCGCCCGTACAGCGAGAGCATGCTGGCATACCCATAGCCGATGTTTTACAGAGTCGTGCTCGCCGCACAGCGGGCACGTGCCGTCGCTGTTGTAGCCTGCCGCTTTGGCCCTGGTGCGTGTCCACACACCTCCATGGCCATGTACTCACGCGAGGTGAGTTTCTTGGACTTCGGGCCCAAAAGACGGACCAGGGGATCCACGCACATCCGAGAACCCTCAAAACCAGGGCAGAGCTCCGCTGAGTTCCACGCTCCAGGAGTTGGCCGACGAGGGAGGGCGAGTTCAAACCAAGATGCACAACTCTCTCGGAGTCGTCGGGCCACGTTGAAGCCGAAGTGGAGCGCCACCTCATCCGATTCAGCGACAGATGTATTCTCTGGCTGGGCCCGCTTGAGCTCTTCCAAGTCAGCTCGGGGCCGTGGGGGACAGCGCTCCACATCTGGCACAACTCCTTCACACTATACATAGGGGTGCTAGGGCACGTGGGAGCCACCCACACAACGTGAGACCAGTGCAAGGCTGGCACAACTCCAGCTCTCCAGACAGGGTCTCCACAACACGCAAGTTTGGCATGGAAGGAGGTTCCCTTGTGGTAGGGGGGCTTGTACGATAACATGACCCTCTGAGCCTGCTTCATTTCCTGGCCATCCATGCCAACGATGGCGGAGCCGAAGGTAGCAGCGGGCTCCACATCTGCGACAGAAGTCTTGTCAATTCGCTCTTTCTGACGCGGCAGACGGTCGCGGTACCTTTTCAAAATCCGATGTCTTGCGGGCATGTTACGAAACCTCTGTTTGCGTTTCCACCTAGCGTTTCTAGCGGAACGATTTTGACCCACGGCGAGATCCGTGCCCAGGACCACAGCGCTGTTGGTGACGGTGCCCGCCGTACCCCCGAGCAGCTTACTGAGTGTGCGAGCGAGGGGAAGCGAGCTGGCGAAAGTCGTGAGCTTGTCGGCCTGCAGCTGCATGCGCAGGTAATCCCTACACACTATGAACATGGCCGCTGCAGCCATGGACATCCTGTCGAGAACCTCGACCTCGCTGTCACCTTCCGCGGTGAGCGAGTCGTCGTCAACGTACGAGCTGAGTTGCACCAGCGGGTGATCACGAGTAAACTGGTCAAAACCTTCGATACTGTAAACTCTGACAACCAAATCGTTAAACATGTCACCCGCTGGCAGGCCTGACAGCGCAAACTACGGCGTAACAGAGCACTGCGCACCGAGTCGGAGCAGCCTGGGCCCCCTCCAGAAATTGTGAGTGGTTCTCACGCTGGCCGGGTTAAACCCGTGATCCAGAGCTCGGTCCTGAGGAGCTCCAAACCAAACCTTTCATAATACTTGGTTCCGTCCCAGATCACTCCAGCGGTGACGCGTCCTGTGTGAGCTGACACTTCAGCTCGGGCAGCCTGACGCCACGCAGCATCCTCTGCGCTGCGTCCAGGACCAAACGCCCAGAGCCTACGAGGGTAATCTTCGTTGAACCTCAAGAGGGGGGGGGTCTCCTTAAATGATCCCAAACTCGGACAGGGCCAGCGCGCAACAGTATGGGTCGGAGTCCCCCCTTCGGTTTCTCGAGGAGGGGGACGAGCATCCAAAACAAATGCGCGGGGAAACGCCCGAGGCCTTCCGCGGCCTGAAACGAGGCCGCCACCGTTTCAAAGGGCCGCGTCCGACACAAGCGACAGCTGTTTGGGGTGCAGACCGTCTAACGATGGGCTCGTGTTAGCCGGGAAGGTCGCGCTGGCACTTCTACTGTCGGAAGCCGAGGCGCTGGGGAGGTGATTGCGATTGGGCACATCAACGAGCGCAGGCTTGACAGAGGCGTGCGAAAAGCTGGCAAGAGTCTCACCCTCAGCCCTCAGATCTTCAGGGGGTCACTGCTAAACGTACCTGGGTGGGCCTGGACGACCGTGGTGTTCCACTTCTGCTCGCGTTTAGTAAGGCGATGCATGGCCCTAATCCCCCCTTAACGCTTTCTCCTGCCATTCATCCCAACTGTCCTGCTTGGCCTTCCAGAGGCCCTTGTCGGCATTGACACGGTCGTACTCCCACGCGTCCAAGAAGTCGCGCGCCTCTTGCACCCAGTCCTCGAGCGAGGACGGAGGCCACTGGCGCATCAAAGACCTAGCGCTAGCGATGGTGGCGTCCAGGCGAGCAGCCATTCCTTCGCCAGGGCAGGGCTGCGACATAATCTGGTCCACGAGCTGCTGCGCATCCTGCGCAAGGGCTTCGCCCTTGACATGAGACGTTGACGGATCAAACACAGCGTCGCGCAGGCGAGAGGCCGTTCCGACAGTCTCTGACACGCGCTGGGCTAACCAGACTCATCCCTGGTTGATCAGGTCGGTGCAAGCACTCTTGGGGGTGGCTAAAACCGGGGCCCACTTGGCCCTGGTCACCAAACCTTTCAAACCTGTGTTCTTGACGTTGACGCCTAGAATTTATACCAACTCGAGCTCGAGACGGTTCAAGAAGGTACGCCACGCTTTGCTAAGAAGTTCCCAGGCGAAACCAACTGGTTTACCTATCGCAGCTTGCGCCGCACATTCGGCAATGTCTCGAGCGAGCGTCCAATCTTGCCGTCTAGGGGTGGGACCGTAGGGCAATTCCACTGGAAGACGTTGATGGCTACCATGCACAAGTTGGTACAACCTGACGGCTTGCTCCTTCAACCGAAAGATCACAGGGAAGCGAGGTCGTCCTTTCCTCTGTAAATCGCAACTGATGCTCTCAATGGCTCTAGAGAACGAGGTGCTGCACATAAAGAAATCGATCGTGGAGAGTGCCTGAGCGCTGACGCAAGTCCTGGATTGGGGAACGAAAAGAAGGGAACCTAGTCTTCTAACAAGACCAGTCGACTCCATCAAGGTGGGGGAGAGATTCCAATCACCCCCACAGACAAACGTTTGATATTTATCCAGGGCTTGGCCGATGGCTTTCAAATAGGACACATTCCGATCGCGCAGGCCAGTTCCTGACTTAAGGTAAGCACACACAACCGTGAGCACGGGCCATTCAGGGATACCAATCAACACTTTGATCACGCGGGCTGAAACCAGGATACCTCCTCCGCTGGGCCATCTGAGGCCGAGGTGGGAACGGGCCATGGCCGCAACGCCCCGCTTGGACCTGCCAGAGGCCCCGACACACGACGGGGAGGCTAACATCTTCCATTCGAGTTTGGCGACCGCCTGACACTTGTCACCCAATGCATCCTCGGAAAAGCCCACCTCCCGAGCCAGGAAGATGAGCGCCGAGGAAACAGCCAGCCTGTCTCTAAG